GACAATTGTTACCAGCTTCTGCTCTGGGGCCTGCGGTTTCCATATTGTCCTCTTGGGAAAAACCTCCAATCCTTCACAGCTCAGCTACCCTGGGAAGTCCGTTACACACACCTCGGAAGACCACTACACACATGCTTTGACCGACAGAGCTAACAGGTACAGAGNCAGAGACTATTCTTAATTATTTAATCGAATTTGTCTTCGACCTTTTCCTTTGCTGTCCTTCCGACAGAAGTACAGATTACTAACAAACTGAAATTTCACAACTCCCATCTCTTCCCTACCTTTTCCAAGGAATTTTTCGTGTTCTTTTCTTGAGTTGGATTGAAACAGCAGCTGGAGTGGATACATGTAAAAAGGTCCGATCAAGTAGAGGTCTTGAAGCGATTTATTGAATCGTCCAGCGAATGACCGCGAACGAATTTTGACAAATCGCCGCACCCAATACGATACAACTACCGCATTAGTACACGAGAGCGAATCGAAATCGCCGCATTCGGCTCGTTTTCTCCCGTCGATTCATTTGAACACCTTTGGTGCTGAACGGGGAAAGATTGAAGTGGAATAATTCCATAACAAAACTGAAATTTGACAAGAACGAAGGAACGGAGAAACAGAAGAAGGAGAGAAAAAAGCACGAGAGAATGCAGGAGGACAGAGGGCTGTTTCAGGTCGCTAATTTGTCATTCGGATCATCGTCTGTTGCAAAAGAACCTGCTTTCCCTTGTACCTCTGAAGCCCCGAGTGTTCGCTGATCCACAGTGGCTACCCTTTTTAGGAAGAGAGAAGTGAGGTAGCAAGTCTGAGGTAGGTACCTCTAGAGCACTTTTATGGCTGCCTTACAAGTAAAGTTTTGTCACTTCAATGGTTCCGTCGTCAACTCTTCGTATGAAATGTAGTAATACTATTCATCGGTTACAATAAAGCATTACTGCATTTTGGTGAAATCGTATGGATGTTTTCTGTAAGAGTACTCTCGAACAGAAAATTACTGTTTAGTCCGCTCTACTTGTTCGCGACCAAAAACCAGAAGGTATAAGTAAAAATCGACCTCAGCAAGCATGAGTTGGATCTTTGGTTTGATAACAAACTGATCGGCTGGTAAAAATTCTTAACTACTAAATACAAAACGGTGGTAAGCAGCAAAAAACCTTTGAAAAAAACCAGAAAATAAAATCAGAACAATGAGGGAGGCTAGACCAGAGGCCGGAAGAAACTCTATCATTGGCAGGAGCATCATGCTAAATTTGATCGTTTCCTGGCGTTTATTAGTCTCAGCAGATACTGTAGGAGTTTTTCCTGGTCATGGACGTTTCAGTCGTGGAACTTTTTGAATTGGAGCAAATTAGTACAAACATCAAAACGTTTACTAGTATGAACAAATACTAATAGCAATAGTAGTAGTAGCAAAGGCAGTAGCCTGATTATTCAGCCAATGTATGGCACATTGAATGTACTGAGGTGATTAAGGCAAGCTCAAGGGTTCGCCATGTATCAGTCAATCTCCCTTGATTGGAGCACTGGGTCGAAATATGTGCCCTGCCTGGGATCTTGTTTTTGCCTATATGGCCCCATTCTTGGAACTCAAAACCATTTTGTACTTTAAGAAATTCTTGTAATTGCAAAATATTTCACTATGATATCACGCCGGTACACTCCTGACCTAGAGTTCGAAAGACAAATACTCTTTCTAATGAAATTTGATGGATCTTATAAAATCTTTAGAGCTTTTACATATTAATAGAATTTTAGAGAACAATATGCAAGTTTCCAGTGGAAGGAAGGTAATTACCTGAAAATATTACGAAATTCCTTCAAACTGAGTAGATCCAAGGAGTTAGGAACAGTTAAGAAAGAGCTTATAATAAATTTTTGACTTTCAGGCTCCACCGAAGAAAAGGAAGCTCGAAAATCAGCTGATCAAGAGGGCTCGTCAGGCAAACCTTGTAAGTTTCAGCCAAACCAGTTTAGTCCGCCTAATCGGACTTAAACTTACTGTTTTACGACGCCTTTGAATGGATATACAATGGGGTGAGACCAGTTTCCACGTAGTAGTTTCAAATCTGATTACGAGTAGCTAAACCTTCCGAAAAAGTAGAAATTACTTCGAGATACTTGTTAAGAGTAAAAATCGTCAACGTTCAGTAAGTGAATGACCAGGAAGTGGCCAGGGAACTCGTATTACTTTAACGACCGAGAGCGACCGAACGCGTTAAACAGGGTGAGAGATAGGGGCAGAGGATCGCGTAGTCGATGGTTGCAATCGGCGGGAATGGGGGTAGGTGGTTCATGGCCATCGATGTCACTATCAACCATTATCACATACAGCAACAACCATCTTGCCTACGTTTTCCATGTCTCAGTTGACAACGGCGACTCACTGAAGGTGCGAACACCCCCCCCCCCCCCCC